AATCCACACTTTCCAATATGCATCATCAATTTAATCCACAAATCACATTCCACAAACCCATTTAACATTTAACTATAAAAATTAAATTTTCTCCGATTACCTTAAACCTTTGAGAGGTCAAAGGTTTACCCCTCACTATATCAACTTCCCAAAGTTTCAACAAGTTCGAATGGTGCCAAAGCAAACCTCTAGTCATCCAAACCATAAGAACATCATTATTACTTAACTCTTGAACTTATCAACATAAAACTCCACAAACACTATTTTAATTGACTCATAATCACTACCCATTAATACCCAATGGGCTCATTAAATTTCATTAATGCACATTATAATTGATAACACCTCAAACCATCAGTAATGCACATTAACCTCTCCTAACTATCTCATAAATGTTAACTTTTGAATATTAAATACTCCCATTGACCACCCACTTCTAAAATCATAAATATGGTGTTTCAATACATTAAACAACTCCCATTTAACTTATTTTAACCAATAGAATCAAACCCATACTCCTATAGATCGAAAATCCATCTTCCAACTCAAACCCTACCATAAATTGTTATAAATGAGGGAGAGAAAAGAAGAAGAAGGCACCATAATCTTACCTTGAATGTTTGAGAGCTTCAATCTATCAATAATGGGACCAAAAGTTGTGCCCTAGTAGAGCCAAAATCAAGCTCTTCATTTTCCTCCTCTTTCTCTCTTCTGTTTTCACACAGCTCATGAGCTGATTTATCTAATTTTTAACCGTGTGTCATAGCGCTCGTTGCCCTCGCCACAGCGCATGACATAGAGGAATCCATTACATTTAAATTGTCTCTATGCACCACAACGTGTGGCACAAAAAATAATTCTTCACTTTTTCATTCTCTTTCCTTGCACGGGTGGCCGGCCATTGATCCGGACCCACTTCTAGGGCTAAAATCATAATAATTATACCAAGTTAAGCTCATTTGGCCACACACCTCATTAACTCACTAGCTACCGTTATTAGGTTAATAAATCAGGGTTAAAAATTTTCGAATGTTAGACCTACAATGACTTAGTATCATGCACAATATTTCATATAATATTTTTAATGATCCACGGTGATTTAGTATTATTCATGGCTAAAATTTTGTTATTTTCATTATTTTACAATAATTTTCAAAAGGGTTTTCTTTGTTCAACAATCACGATAAATTAGTATCACTTACAATGCATCAAAGCATTCACGACAATATAGTATCACTTGTGAACTCTTAAAATTATAAGATGAAATTGAAACATAAGTTGTCAAATGGGTATTGATTGTAAAGAAAACAATGTGTTGGGCCAAACATCACTATTGCTACTAGAACCATGAATCAATAAAACAAGACAAGAATTAACAATGTGTCAAAGCATCCCATGTGTGGACGTGTAGCCAAACCAAGTAAGGATAAAATATGAAGCACAAGAAAGATACAACAGGCAAACATGTAATTGTTTTGAATAAAAGAAGTAAATGTAAGAAGCCACCTAAAAAAGAGTCAATTAAAGATGAGTGCAATTGGTGGTCAAGTATATGGCTACTATTACAAAACTTGTGAGGAGAAAATACCATCCGTGGACTTAAAAGCATATCACCCTAACTTGAGGAAACTCTCCTCTCTACTTTCGAACCAACCATGCACGTAAACCAAAAGAAATGTGAAAGTAGTACAAAAAAGATCACTCACTTTCAAAATTTCGACGATATGCTCCGTGGTCTCATCCCAAAAATTCCTTTCTTGTGCCATTCTTCTCTCCCTTTTAGATATACCACTACAGTTTTTCCTCATTAATGGCCTAATCAAGACCGGATCTCTTCAAATAAAAAAAAAATCCTATTTTGACTTTTTAAATCAGATTTTTAAATTCTTCCTTCAATTAAACCAAATTTCAATTAAGCCATAATCATCTCAAAATCAGAATCAAATAATGTGACTTTCAAATTTTTCTAATTTTCCCTTCATTAAATCAAATTTGGTGGAACATAATTGAGGAGATTTGGGGTCAATGAAAAAGAAGGACTTTTCAATTGAAATTAGTATATTTTTTAAATTTATTTATTATTTATTTTATTTTATCAAGATTTTCATTTATATTTGCAAGTCTAGACAAAATACGGTATTTAAATAATGTCGATTTGACAAAAAATTATGCTTGTGACTTAATTATTTTTGGGTTTATGAGTATTCTGGACCTTAAAGTATCAGGCAAAAAGTATCATGAACTGTGAACTCCTAAAATGTATAAAATAAATAATGAACTTTCAAATCTAGAGTAAATTACCTCCCACTGTTAACTTACAGATAACACCATCAACTGTTGACTTTATAAGGTCCATTCAAATGCTAATGTGGCATCTCTTGCTGATATCATTAGTTAATAAGCACCGCAAACTTTAAACTATTGTGTGAATATCATCCTGGACCCTGAATCTTGAAATTCAGAACAAATTAATCTCATCGTTTATGTGTAAAACGTTGAAAGTTGTGTAAACCAATTTGGCCTTAGTGTGATCCTTCGAGGTGAATGTATCATTGACTGCAGTGAACAACTCAAAATTTTGTGAAATGATGTTTTCGCCTTACTTTTTTGTAATGTTTTTCAAATGATTGATATCTCATGCTTCTGTATACTCTATAACTCTGATTTAGTCTTATTTTAAATATTATTTATTTATTTAATAGTGAAAACTTGGGGTTCCATTTTGAAAAGAAGTTTTCACATTAAATAAGTAAACATTATTTAAAATAAGACTATATCAAAGTTATAGAGTCTATGAAAGCATGAGACACTAATTGTTTTAAACACACTACAAAAAAGGGGTAAAAAAACTTCATTTCATAAAATTTTAGGTCATTCACTAAGACCAATAATGCGTTTGTCATGACGAACCACACTGAAGCTAATTTGGTTTACATAACATTCAATGTTCTACACATATAAATGGTAGAGTTAATTTGCTCTAAGTTTTAAAGTTTATGGTCTAGGATACTACTTATGCAAGAACAACATTAAACCATTTTTTATTGTAAAAGGGGATCATTATAAAACCAAAAAGAGAGAGAGAAGAGAGAGAGAGAGAGATACCAAATGCTTTTACACAACTAATTCAACAGCAAAAATACACTTTAAATCTAAAACAAAACCAAGGAAATTTTATTTTGATCATCCACTCGTGACGTTAAGTACTTATATTGGAGAATGATAAATTGAATTTAATAATGAGATTTCAAAATTTGATACTAATATAGCAAAATTTGACTGCTTTAAATTCCATAATACTAATGTCAAATATTGAAATATCAGTATCAAATTATTTCAAAATTATAATTGAATTTTGATATACATAGATGTGTTTGAATTTTTTTTTTAATGGAAATTGGACACTGCTATATACTAAAAAAAACAAATACAAACAACAAACAAGGAGAGTCTTTATCATTCACCATCTACATAAAAGATGGTTGATGATCAAAGACACAAAACTCACTTGTGATAAGACGACCATGCTTAGCTAACATATGCGCAAGGTAATTCATGTCTCTCTATATAAAATTTATCAAAACATTTCAAACCTTATTTAACATATCAATAATTCTTCGGATTATATCTTCAAAAGTGTGGTGGCCAGGTGACTCCAGAAGGGTGTGATGAGATTAATAGCCTCAAAAATACACTTCAAATCTAGTTCAACTAGTTCAATATACTCTTGAAGATTATATCTTCAAATGCTTTTATACAACTAGTTTAACGGCAAAATACACTTTAAATCTAAAACAAAACCAAGGAAATTTGTTAATTTGATTTTGATCATCCACTCGTGACGTTAAGTACTTATATTGGAGAATGATAACTTGAATTTAATAATGAGATTTCAAAATTTGATACTAATATAGCAAAATTTGACTGCTTTAAATTCCATGATACCAATGTCAAATATTGAAATATCAGTATCAGATTATTTCAAAATTATAATTGAATTTTGATATACATAGATGTGTTTGAATTTTTTTTTTTTTGAATGGAAATTGGATACTGCTATATACTAAAAAAACAAATACAAACAACAAACAAGGAGAGTCTTTATCATTCACCATCTATATGAAAGATGGTTGATGATCAAAGACACAAAACTCACTTGCGATAAGATGACCATGCTTAGCTAACATATGCGCAAGGTAATTCATGTCCCTAGACATAAAATTTATCAAAACATTTAAAACCTTATTTAACATGTCAATATCTTCAAAAGGGTGGTGGTGACTCTAGAAGGGTGTGATGAGATTAATAGCCTCAAAATAATCATTATAAAGATCAATATTTTAATATTTTAAAGAAAATATGGTTTTGAATTTAAAATTAATTTTGACGTTTTTAATGAATGTTTGAATAATTTTAGGAAAACATGATTTTAGGTGCATATATGATTTTAATATGAAACATGGGCATATTTTCACAAAATCAGAATTTTAACCTTTAAAATATATTTATATCATAATCCAAACAGGCACTGAGTGGCTGCTGCGCCTTTAATTTCCAAAAATAAAAGAGAAAAGAAAAGAAAATCATGTTAGCCCCACATTATAAGTTATTATTATACATGCCAAAGAAAATTCCAGTTAAAAATGTGTTAAGTATTGTTGGCCAAGAGTAATCCAATTGTGATAAAGGATAATGCCTCCTCGCCTGATTTCTTCTTCATATATTGTAATCTACACTTCTAATTCATTCATTCCTTTGAGAAGTTCTCTTCATTTGAAATCAGCATTGAAGCCTTCTGCACCCTGGCAGTGAAAAGTTTAAAAAAAAAAAATGCAAACGTGCTCTCATCGACAAGTAGAGATAATATACTTCATCAAGTGATGTGTTAGAATAGAATATATTAAGTATAGCAAATTCATTTCATTGCGTGCCCAAAACAACATCGAAGGATTCAAATTTGGGTCACCACTCACCACTAGCAATAAACATATCACATGATATTGAGCCAAACAGGGGTTCTTATTATTACAAAATCTTAATTACCAACAGAAACATTGTGCGCTTAAAGATAGACTTCTTTTCTAGGTTAGATCGTGTGATTTTGAAGCCTGAAGCTTTATCCACACCTCCTTCCACCCCTTACTACCTAGACTAGCCTTAGCCTCAGGAGGCTAGGTTAAAAATCACCTTTGATCTAATTAAAATCTTGATTAAGAAACACTTGTACTTAATTGTATAAAACAAATTACTCAAAAGGTCATTTTCATAAATAAATAAAAAGAGGCCATTTATCACACAAAGTTACCTAATATAACAAACAAATTTCAAGTGTTATCAAGAGAAAGTCCACATGAAGCCAGTGTGATCTTCAATCAGTTTTCAGCAGACGCATACACGAGGGATGTGAAAACTTTTAGGAAATCTTGTCCTCTATGAGCAATGGACATTTTAATTTTGGATCACAAGAGGCTGCATGAAAAATCAAACCCGCGATCGAACACCAAGAAGGGCTAGCGGCATGCCGCTACGTAACAAGGCAATAGATCATTTTTTATCTATTCTTAATTCATAAAGGCAATAGGAAAGCCATCCTCAGGCAAGTGATTCTATGCCTGAACACGAAGAGGTAGAAGCACTTCCGTCAAGCACCATGCTGGTTTGTCTTACTGACAACTTCCCACAATCTTGTAGACATAGCTCTTCCATAGTAGAGGCCTTGGGGAATGGAGTCTTTAGATTGGGACACTCATGAATTTCTAACCTTTTTAAATGAAGGTGCTGAGGTAAGGGCATCTTCAACTTCGGACAATCACATATAAAAAGCTCTTGAAGACGGGGAAAACTAGCACCTTCATAGCTGATATTCCATTCTTCCCATTGTTTCATTTCGCAAATACTTAACTGTGAAAGGGATTGAAAGGGAGTAGTAGAGGAGCCACTGCCATAAAACTCTGGACCAATCACCGTTATTCTATCAAATCCCCCAATGCTAAGTTTCTCAAGGAAAGGTAGTTGCCCAAGTGGTGGCAAGTTGACACAAAATGTACAACTCAACAAACATAAAGATACTAAGTTGAGATGAGGATCACCCAACCAATCCGGAAATCTAACGCCCCCATAGCATTCAATAAATAGCAGTTTTAAATTATAACTTGGTTTAAGAGCCTTCAATATGCACTCTTCCTGTTCTTGTGGCACTTTGCGATCTGGAATCCATCTCCATTTCAAATCTAGTTTATCCAAATGCTTCTCTTTCAAATTGGCCTCTTGAACATTCATAGGATCGCTTGCGTTCTCTAGATTCAAAATAGTTAATGTACCCCTTAAATGATTTAGGCTTCCTAATTCTTTTAGATCATATCCTTCATGTTTCCTCACAGCAAAGTGAGTCATTGTCCGGAGATGCTTGAGTTGTCCCATGAATTTGGGGGTCTTCTCTATGACACAATTTTCCAAATCAAGATGATGCAAGTTAATGAGTTTGTACAACTTTGATGGCAACTTTCTCAAGAGGGAGCAATTTTTTAATTTCAGAGTCTGCAAATTAATCATTGAGCAAATTGAATCTGGCAACTTCATAATTCTACTCTCAGAAAGATCTAAATAACGCAAGTGCTTCAAATTGTTAATATTATTTATCAACCCTTCAACATTGCAACTTCCATTCAAAGATAATGCCCGCATGTATTTTAGATGAAGAAACACACTGAACAATTTATCTTTCTCTTGCTTATAGTGCCTTGTTGGTCCTGTATCATTTATCAATACAATCAGATAAACTTTTTAGGTAAATAATACAATCAGATATTTAGTTCCCTTAAGAACATGTCCATCGATTACAACAGATGGAAAATTCATCAATTAGATCACAAGCCATCAAAAAGAAAACATGACAAGTACGGAAAAAGCAGTGAACTGAAACAAAAGGTTGCTAAAGTATCGTACAAATAATTAAAAAAAAATGACATCAGTTCAGATATTTGAGCTTAGACAGACATATTATAAGCTACCCAACAATAAAGGGAGACAGAATCATTATAATACTGGTTTCCTGGAAATTTACTCAACTAGATGATGCTACTTGGAAAGACCTCTCTGTTATACAGCAGCAACTTCCTCACTTTGTCACTACTACACCTCTTCTTTGGGGGGGGGGTGTTATAAGGGTTTTATTGTTATTACCCTTAGAGTTACCTAGAAGTGAGAGAAAATGTTAGTGACTTGTCTAGGGGAAAGAATATATCCGTTGTACCTATCCTTTTTCCCCTTTCTGTCGAACGAATATCCAATTTTCCTCTTCTGCTTATATGCCAATATCAAATAGCAGGAATAGCTAAGAAAAACAAACGACAAAAGAAATGTAACGCCAATGAAATCACATATAAATTGAACAATTTCTATGAAAACATCAACGAATAGACTACAAGGAGATATAAACCATGGTTCCATATAGCAAAATGAAGTCAAAGATAAAACGTTTGAGAGATATCAAAGAGAGGGATTGGACAACATACCTTTTACAAAACCATTTTGGAATTTGAGGAAGCAACGTAATTGGTGGCACAGGGAAATATCCTTTAAGTTGTTGATATCATAGGTTGGGAATGAAATGTAACGAGTCTCCCTAGAAATTTCTTGGGCCCAATCACCCTCTAGCCGTAGACAAAACTTACCCATCACAGATTTTGCCAAGTCATTTAAAAGGTCATGCATGATGTATTTATTGCCTTCTTTTGATGCTTCAAAAAATGACCTTGACTTCAAAGAGTTGAAAATTTCCTTGCCCACTTCTTCAATGCTCCCTCTTGTTTGATTGGAATGCAATAAACCTTCTGCCATCCATAATTGGATTAGAACATCCTTGTCTATGACATAACCTTTAGGGAAGATGGAGCAATAAGCAAAACAACACTTAAGATTTGAAGGTAAATAATGGTAGCTCAATCTTAAAGATGGTATTATATTGCTATCATCCTCTGATAAATTCCAGATATCACTATGCAAAATCTTATCCCAATATTGACAAGAATGTTCAGTATACAACAAACTTCCCAATGTTTTTATTGCTAAAGGTAATCCTTGACACCTCTCAACAATTTGTCTACCAATCGATTCAAAATTTTTATCTTCACCATGATGTTGGCCATTAAATGCATGTTTTACAAATAATTTCCAACAATCTTCAACTTGTAATGGTTTCAAAGGATATGTAAGGGAAGAGTGCATGACTTCTGCTACCTTTATATAACGGGTTGTTATAAGAATCTTACTTCCTTGAGCTGCATCTTTGAAAGGAGTTCGGAAGGCCTCCCAAATTTGACGATTCTCATTCCATACATCGTCAAGAACAAGAAAAAAACTCTTACCCATCAATTTCTCATTTAGTTGACATTGATACGAGGTCAAGTCATCTGATTTTGCAGTGGAACAATTGAGTTCTTGGTGGATTGCCTTTGTAGCTTGAACAACATCAAATTCTTCTGAAGCACACGCCCAAGCCCTGTGCTGAAATTTATTTTTCATCCTTTGGTCTTCGTATACAAGATGTGCGAGGGTTGTCTTCCCCACCCCACCCATGCCGACAATGGCAATCACGTCTACGGGTCCTTGGTTCCCACCCATGTTCGGTGATAGTAATATCTCTATTATTCTCTCTTTATCAGCATCACGACCATAGATATCAGCTTCGTCTATCAAAAATGTTGTTGGCAATTTTTTAAAATATTTCCTAGGAACTCCAGAGACTTCTCTCAAACCCAGCCGGTCCCTTATGTTTGCAAGGAACTCAAGGTGAGCAACCAATTCTTTGATCCTTAATTCAATTTTTTTTCCACGTGGATTGAAATAGAAGTAAAGCAGTTATGTAGTTTACCAGTTGCGGGATGAAATTGCAGTTGCAGCTTCTGTCGAGAGGCCTCAGTAGCAATCTCATCCATCAGGTCCTCAGCCCGAAACACAGCATCCTTAAGCTCATCAAGCCAACGCTTCACAGGGGGATCTCTGTATTGCCTTTCCTCAGCATCTTCAATAACTTTGTCGATGCAATTAAGGGTAATGTCAAGTCTTTTCAGCAAGAAGCCATCCTGGATCTTTCGGACACGGAAGAAGTCAAGAATGTCACAAGAAGCCAATCTTTCAAGAGCCAACTGAATGGAAGACGTAAGCAACGCTCCAGCCACCAACTCAGCCATGGTTTTCAGATTTCGATATAAGGTAAGACAGAAGGTATCCAGCAGCAGCGCAGGAAGAAATTCGAAACAGATGGAAGAAGGCAATATGGGTGGTATGGCAACGAGTAGCACCTAAGGCGATGTTGATGGCGGTGAGTGGTTAGGGTTCAAGCGCTGGTGTGAGAGAGAAGGAGAGGGGATGAGATTGGGAGTGAGCGAAGTACAGACAACTCGCCCAAAAAAAGGAAATCAACGAAAAAGTCTTATGCGGAAGATCAAATGGCCCGGTGATACCCAAGCCCCCTTTTAACGAGAGAGGCGGCAGGTTCGATTCGGTGTAGTGTGCGTGGGGGCTTTTCTTTAAAAAAGTGCAGGGTGTGAAACATTTTTGAAAAAATGATTGTAATTTTTTTTAATTATATAAATAACAATTCAATCTTCAAAATATCATAATTTTAATAAAATTTTTAAGAATTTTTTTATAAGTTTTTTAATAAAAATATTTTTTTATTGATAAATTATAATTTTTTATTCAATTCATGCTTTAAATAAAAGTTATGATTCTTTAAATAAAAATTATAAATAAAGTTTGTTATTTTAAGAATCTACTTTTCAATAATAGAAATTATGCTTGACTAATTATAATTTCTCATTCAACTCTTGTGATTTAAAGAATAAAAATTATTATTTCTTAAATAAAAGTTATAATTATTATTAATTTTTTAATAACATAAATTACATTTAACAAGTAGTGATTTCTTACTCAATTCTTACTAATTACAAAACAAAAAGTGTGATTTCTTAATAAAAGTTATGATTGAGATTTGTTAGTTTTAGTTAGGATAAAATGATCTTTTCCTTAAAAAAATTATTAACAAAGACGTTCCTTAAGACTTCATTGATATTGTGGCATTTCGATAGATCAAATTGTCGTGTATGTAATTTGAAAAAATTTTATTATCATTTTTTAATATCTTTTACCTTCTTTTAAGGGTTTATTGGAAAAAGGCTTAAAAAAAATCTTATTGAGTTTGAGTTAAAGTTCATTTTTGTTCATATTATGAGCTAATTTTGTCTCTCAATTTTAAAAATTTCCTCCATCATTATCTTAACGTTAAAAACATTTAACCTTTGTCGGTTATCAGTTGATCCTACTACTTTTTATTATTTTTTATCAAGTTAATGATAATTTTTAACATGATAAATAAGACATCAATGGGTCTCACAATTCTATCATTGTGCTCGTTAGTCATCAGCGTACAAAATTGATAAATAAGGCATGGAGGTTCATATAGAACTACCAAACGAGTCTCATACCTTTTACCTTATTGCTACCAAGAGCGCAAAACCACCACCATTATTGCCTAGCTTCTATTGCAATGAGTAGGGGTGTTCAAGATGTATCCGGCCCGACTAACTCGTACTGGCCCATGCTCGTCCCAATTATATTGGGACGGGTCTATCCCGACTCGAAAAAATTCAGGACGGGACTTTTATGGGACAGGGCCAAATAGGGACGAGACGGGACAGGACTCGGGCCAGCCATCGAGGACGTCCCATCCTATCCTGTTTATATTCAGCATATATATATATATATATATATATTTTAATTTTAACTATTATTTATTTATTTTAATTAAACTAATTTTTAATGGTATTTTTCAATTTTCAGCTTTAATCCCAAGGACAGCTAAGACATGCATGCGACAGCAGGGAGTTCATTTTTTATTTTTCCCTTTCCAGTTTCCACTTTCTAAATCCAAACTTCAGTTTCCAGCTCTCCCTTTCAAAGCTCCAACTCCAAGCCTCCAACCCTCAACCGCAAATCAGTCGTACAGCTCAGCAAACCTTCAGTTTCGATCCTTTCGATTAGAGGCTACCTCCGCACCACAATCCACACGTTCCTCCCTGAATCTCCTTTTTGAACTATTATTATTCCCTTCATCGTGAACGCTTTTAGATCTGCAAGGTTATTTGACGGACGCAGCTGCAAGGTTATTCTCTTCTACCCAGATCTGGTGCTACCTCAAATCCATCGTTCTCTTTTACTCAGATCTGCAAGGAGTCCTCAAATCTGTGTGTTTCATTTCTCATTTGTTGTCTTGTTGAATGCTGAGAAATAAATTACTATTCATATTACGAACAATAAAAAAAAGATGACGATGATAATAATGATGATTCCTTGTGTGCGTGGAGTAGAGCAGTTTATGGACTGTCATGTCAAATGGAAGACACAAATAAAAACAGGACAAAAGGGGCCTTGATTGATAGAATGGAATAACAGGATAACGATCTGTATTTTCAACCTGGGAATAATATATAAAATTTGAAAACTTGAAAATGAAATATTGTGGCTTCCCTGATTGAGCATATCTCAATGTGTGTGTATAATTAAAAAATAATATACCATATTGTGATAAAGAATCAAGGCCGAAGAAGTTTGGAGACCTAGACTAAAATTATTATAGAGGCTTCTTAAGTTATGATATAATTAATGAATTATATAATTTTCATTAAGACTAGCTAGGTTTCACGCTCATTTCAATAGCGTTGGGTAAAAAAAGTTCATTTTATTATTACTTTTTTGAATTTCAAAACATACACAGAGCCATTTTTCAATGAATGAGTGATAACTGATAAGATATTACCGATAAAAATAACAAATAATATATCACACATTCTCAATAATTAAGATCATAATAAATTAATTTCTAAAAGAAAAGATCAATAGATTTTTCTATTTTATGAGTTGCCTCAGTGGCCTATATACAGGTAATTAAACACAGCCATGTTAAGAATGCTAGTTGAGAATCAAAAATGGGACTTTGTTTAATGAAAAAAATAATGAATAAAATCATGAATATACTATCAATAGATTTCACAGTTCCATTGCTAAAGGAAAATACTATTCATATTTGAAATATATATGCCCATGTATATACTATCTATATTTGTAGATTGATAAAAGTAGATACTTCATTACAAATGCAGTATATATATCCATGTTTTAATTAACTTGATTATATTAATTTGCATGTTAGAATTCTATTTAACAAGAAAAAGAAGTTGTGATGCTTCCAATTGAACCTATTACATGCATAATTTTATTTGCATTCTCTGGATTAAGTAAAGCAAATATTGACCATATAAATTATTTAATTATTTGGTTGCATGATTTAGATTATTTGAATGTGTGGAAATTTAATGCCCTTGATTTTTATGCATGCCTATTTGAATATTTAATATGAGGTTTTAATCAGTTAAGGATACTTGTTGTTGCTACTGTTGGCCAAATCTACATTACGAAGAAAAATGGCCACTACACCCACCCTTCAAGAAAATGTAGAAATAATAGAAGGAGATCCTGAAAATGCTTCATCACCTAATATTGAAGAGGAAATGAGTCAAAGAATGAAGGAGAAAGTGGAAGAAAGAGACACAAATCAGCTGTTTGAGCGCATTTTGAAAGGTTGCCATTGGACAAAACTAATGGAGAACCCCGTGCTAAGTGCAAGTATTGCCCAACAACAATTGGTTGTGATTCTACAAGACATGGGACAAATGGAATGAGAAAACATGTAAAAAAATGTCCCAAAAATCTGAACAAAGCAAACAAGTTGGCACAGTCTTTGCTATCGGGCTCTCAATTAGGGTCATCTAAAACTTTGAGTCATCATCTATTTAATCAACTCGATTGCAGACAAGCCATTGCTATATTTGTGATATTGGATGAAATGCCTTTTAATGTTATGGAAGGTGATGGTTTTAAAGAGATGATGAGAAGGTTAGAACCTCGCTTTCAAGTCCCTTTAAGAGCAGAAGTTATTAGAGATTGCTACAAGTTATACCTTGAAGAAGCTAGAAAGTTGAAAAGGTATTTTAAAAAAAATCTCAAATCTGTGTTTCTCTCACTACTGATACTTGAACTTTCAATCAAAATGCCAGTTATATGTGCTTAACTGCTCACTGGATTGATAAGCATTGGACATATCAAAAGCGAATCTTGAATTTTTGTGTTGTTGAAAATCATAAAGGAGAAACAATTGCTCAAGAAATTGAGAAATACTTGCTGTTTTGGAGCATTGATAAGGTGTTTACAATCACAATTGATAATGCTTCTTCTAATAACACTGCTTTGGCATCTTTAAAAGGGGTCTTGAGGCATTGGAATGGTTTAGTTTGTGATGGGGAGTTCTTGCACTTGCGTTGTCGTATGCATATCTTAAATTTGATTGTTTTTGATGGTATGAAGGATATGCACAAGCACAAGTGTATTGAAGGCATTCGGAATGCCATTAAATATGTGAATCTTCTCCATCAAGGTTTCATAAATTCAAGGAGCTTGTGAAAAAAATGAAAATTGATTCAAAGAGGCTACTAAGCATGGATTGTCCAACTAGATAGAATTCAACTTACATCATGTTAGAGAGTGCAATTAAATTTTATAGTGTTTTTGAGAGGATGGAGCAGCAAGATAATGATTATAGAAATTTCTTCTTGGATAAAAATTTGATTGGTCCCCCTAATAAAAATGATTGGAAGGATGCAAAAGATTTTGTGATCTTTTTAAAAGTGTTCTATGATATTACTTTGCAATTTTCAGTATCACTTTATGTGACCTCAAATGTTTGCTTTCAACAAATAGTTGATGTCTTTGCAATTTTATATGAAAGTGCAAACAATCATGATTCCTTTCTTTGTGATATGGCTAAGAGCATGTTGACCAAGTATAATAAGTATTGGGGGAACTTAGAGAAACTTAATCTTTTGCTTGTGGTAGCAGTTGTACTTGACCCAAGGTATAAAATGAAATATTTGCAGTTTGCTTTTGAGGATATGTTTCCTGAGGCTACACAATGTGAAGCTATGACAAAAAAGGTCTCAGATGTCTTGTATCATTTGTATGATCATTATTCAAGTGAGGTTGACACATCTCAGACTTAAAGTCAGAGTCAAAGTCAGACACAAGGAGCAAGTGAAAGTAGTTTGACTCAATCACTTGGATCAGATCATAGGCCTTTAACTTTCTTAAGTTCTAGGTCTAGGGCTTCATTTCAAAGGTTTCTCACCAAAAAGAGACTGAGATTCAAGAATATAAGTATGCAGAGGTGGACAAGTATTTGCATGATGAGTTAGTTGAAGCACTTGATCCAAATTTTAACATTTTAATATGGTGGAAATTGAATTCAGCTAAATATAAAGTCTATTCCTTGATTGCACGTGATGTATTGGCCATGCCTGCTTCC